TGACATCACTACAGCTACAGTTCTGTATAAACCACATCATTATACACGTCTTTAATCTGTAGAGATATGATCAAAGTTAATTAAGAAGAGATTGCTTTTGTTATTAACCCAATAGAGGTAATAAAGGTGACTTATTTCCGTTAAAGTGGATGAGTCTTCTTGGTCAGGATGCGACCAGCCAGAGTTGACTTGCACGAGGGTGTGTGGAAGAAATCACAATAAAATGTGTGATTGCAAATATGTAAAAACGCCACAGTGAAAATAAGAAATAAAACCTGAACTCTTTCATGGGCTTACACACACACACACATCTTCTGAAGATATGTGTGTAAAAACATGAAAGCCCTAATTTTTTTTTTTCAATTTTTTCTGTGGTATTTTTACAGGCGGGTATAAATTTACTGCGAGGTGCTCGAAGGCAACAAATATGACGAAGACACGTCCATATGTACCAGCCCACAAGGACTCGAACCCAGATCCCTCTAGCAAGGACTTCCGAGCCACAGAATACACCTCTATTGAATTTTGAAGATATTGCTCTCAGGTGATAAATAAATAACACCCAATACCAGGTGGTAAGAAGACATGCCCGTATATCCCAGCCCATGGGGATTCGAACTCAAATCCCTTTACCAGTGACCTACTAGCCACAGAATAAATCTACACTGACTTTTGAGGACATCGCTCTCAGATGATAAACACCACCTGATATCAAGCAAGCTGTTATCTTGACGAGTCGAGGTGAAACATTTACACACCACAGAGCGGAGTTTCAGACCACCTTCCCTTATTCACTCCTAGTGGCATTACTCGCTAACGAGAAACATCAACTAGCATAAATACGTGTGTCAACTCAGTACATGTTAAATATGAGCGCAACATCAGAATCCTAGTGTTGGGAGAGGCCCAGTATACTCACAATTGCTCGCGGAATATCGTGCAGCGTAGTAAAAAAATTTGTTTTAAACAAATAAGCTACAATTATATATTAAATATTTATGCAAAATCGTCGAAAACAGCACCGAATATACATATTCATAAACCAATACATTCAAAATGTATAAAATATAATATTCTGATATATGAAAAATACTACAAAAAAATACATCGAGAAAGCACGCGATAAATTTTTTAACAGAAAATTCATACATGAACCATATATTTAATTTTCAGTTCAATTGCCGAATCCACACACAATTTGCAGACATAAATTAAATTAACATATTTGTGGTGTCTGCCTTTTTGACAGAGTGGCGCGATTAATATTATTAATGTGAAAGTTCATCCTAGCATGAGGCGAGGTTATATATACCGAGTGGGGGGAGGGAGGGGGCTGTTGTTTCAGCGTATATTTTAAGAACTAAAATATTCTTGACTGGTGGTGAACAGGTTTACACGTAGTTTTAATGTCCCTCGTGTAGTAAATAAACTTTAAAAGTATCTAACCAACTTATCGTGACGGGAAGAATCTACCTATTGTGTAAATCAGAGTATATATCATGAGAGGTATGTCCTAGGGTATATACTCAGTCTTTTATTTCTCAAGGTATATACTATGAAGGGGTATATATTAGGTCATATACACCGAGTTAATGGTAAATAAAAGTCTGCCTTAAACAGCGGCGCCATATACCAAGGTTCTCGTCATCATCGCAAGACACAGTCGCTCCTCACCTCAAGAAGTGTTCCTTCGATCCCCGTCGGGGAGGGAAACCTATAATCATCGTACCAGCGCCTGACTTACTCCTTCATGATGCTTGCAAACCGTGTAAGGATCAAACCCAACAGTGGAGTAATAAATGACTCTACTAAACTTGCAGTTGCTGCCGCTGTGAAGACTTACCTACAGGTTAAATTTACAGCCATCCACTCGACGAAAGACTCATTCATCGTCGTCTGTACTGACGATTATGAAGCTTCAAAGCTGATCGCCGACACTTCTATGAAAACCCTCAGAGACCGACAGTTCACCATCTACCCTTCACCTTTTTTGCTGGCGAAACGTTCCGTTTTCGTCAAACGGCTGTACAAACTCGTCACTTCTTTATCGACTGAGGATCTCAAGCCCTCTATCGAGGAACAAAATACCTGGGCGTCGATTGAACATATCACCAAAATCCCCAACGCCTCTACAATGATCAAGCTAACCTTCTCCAACATCGATATGGCTACTAGAGCACTGTCTGACGGCCTAGCTATCTCCTACTATCATATCCATCCAAGTCACATAGAACCCGAACGTTTCGCCCACATCTCGCCATGCTGGACCTGCTACTCCTATCACCACTCAACGCCTGACTGTCCTCTGAAAGGGAAGAAGTACTGCACAAACTGCGGTAAAGACGGCCATGACTTCAAGGAATGTTTTAATACCACTACCTCTCCTACCTGCCTCAACTGCAAGGGTACTCACCACACCCTTGCAGCAAAATGCCCTCTACGTAAAGAAGTCCTGTCTAAGAAAATCATTGAAGAAACCAAGAAGAATAACCCTAAATCGCCAACATACGCCGCCATTGCAAAAATTCAATCAGATACCACCGAATTCCTTCAAGATACACAACACTCATCTCCACCCAGCCAGTCCATCTCTGCTCTTTCTGACGCTGCTCCATCCAAGGTGCTATACTGTATGATGTATGCACACCTCACTAATGCTGCAAACTCATTCAACACAACAATCAATGAACTGTTTCGCCTAAATAGCATGCCAAACTTCAACTTTCCAGACTCACCACCATCACAAGACCTCCTCAAGCTAATCCCAGACATTGTTAACTTCACCTCAACCCCTGGTCCTACTCGTATCTCTGACCAAGACTTTACTCCAGAACCAACACCACCGTCTACTGCCACCTTTCACCACCCACCACCAGCCCAACAAACCACAACCGACCAACACTCCCAGTCACAGAAGACGAAATAGAACCAGAACGTTATGAACAACCCACTGACGACGACGAAGTAGTAGTCGAAGAAGTAACCGAAGAAGAAATCACAGGCAACCGTTACCTAAGCCAAGCCTTTAATTAATGGGTCTCTAACATTCTACACCACCCCTAACCTCCCAACCGAAATGAGCGCAGCTGATATGCTCCACTTAATGAAAGAGGGAGCTGTTAAGTACACCTGCACCAAACCTCACCAAATTCCTTTTGAAAACGCACTATCATACCTCGTGACGAATTTGAACTGCTCCAACCTCAGAATGCAACTATTCCACATGTCCAAGAGAGACTTCAAAAGACTCAAGAGTGGCTCCATCACCAGCGAAGTGTAGCCAAACACACAACACACTTCCGCAACACAACGTGAGCCTCCCGACACCTGACGTCCAAACCAGCTCTTCACCTCAGCCTGAAGCATATCAGCCAGCGAGCACTGTCTGCAGTCTGCTCTCTCCTCTGTGCCCTCAACATGCCCTCTCTACACTGCCTCGCAGTGCCACGCAGCTGGGTTCAGCCCTGGCTCTTTCATCTACCGACTATTCTTCGTCTGTTCACACTTCCCCACTCACCCACCGGAGTCCCAACAGAAGAGCCTGCTATATGTGTTCTCAATGTCTGTCCCACGATCGACTTAGCTGCTAGGTTAAGCCCTGGCTCTATTTCTACAACTAAGAACACTCCTCTCCAGCGCTATTCTTCGCCTGTCCCGTCTTCCCCGCTCATCCCATTGGGATCTTACCTGAACTTGTTCCTTCGTTCGTTCCAAGGTTCTATTTTTCCAGAATCTGAGAGTGTCTGACAATTTATAGTTCTGCTGTTAAGGCTATGCAGTAATTAAATGTTCTTGTATATACCTTGTAACCTTTACTATTTTAAATATATATATATATATATATATATATATATATATATATTATATATATAATATATATATATATATATATATATATATATATATATATATATATATATATATATATATATATATATAATATATAATATATATATATATATATATATATATATATATATATATATGTATATATATACATACATATATATATATATATATATATATATATATATATATATATAATATATATATATATATTATATATATATATTTATTATAATATAAACACGTAACTAATCTTGATAACTACAACTTGTATCATTAAATCTGCATTTTAGTATATCTCTTTTTCTCTCATCAGAGGTGTTGGCGTCACTGATGAGTCAACCACTGAATGACCTCTTTTGTCTAACGCCAATCAACGTGCTTTTATGAATAAGTTCCGCCAATCAGCAAGCTCCTTTGATAGTCTCATTACGGTTGCGGAAAATGTCCAGGAAACTTTTTTTCTTTTTACAAAATCCTCTTTAAGAGTTCAATTGACTCCTTTTTTTCATCTTTTTCTTCTGTATATTTACGATATAGAGCAAGTGGTTGTTTATAGCTTTAGTGACGATTTATTATGTTTTGTTGTGTTAATTTGTTGTATTTTTCATCGTCTTTTTATTTTCCTTCAGTGTTTCCCTCCATATACGAGGAAAAACATATTGGTTCCTTGATCGTATATGTATCAAGCACCTACAGTCTCTGGAACTAGGACAATTATTTTCTTTTCTAGTTTTTGCAGTACCTTGAAACCGTTAATAACCTTTGTAGCATTCCATCGCCTCTTGAAGGAGGAACCTAATTTGGTGCTTACATTGAGGCTTCTGTAATCAGGAAAGATGTGTGGTGATAATATATCAAGAGCCAGGAACAATATTTTGCTGTCGTTATTCTGCCTAGGATAAGGAAGTAATTTTTTGTTTACATATTAAGATCTCTAGACTCAGGAATTAAGCTTGTGTTTGCACTGTATAATCTGTAGACCCCAGAAACTTGTTTCTTTATACTGAAAGATCTCTAGAATCGGGAACTAAGTTTGTTTACACTGTAAGGTCTTTAAACCGAGAACAAGTTTATGTTTACACTGTAAGGTCTCTGTAACCGAGAACTAAGTTTGTGTTTACACTGCAACTAAGTTTGTGTCCATGTTGCAGGGTCGCGGGACTAGGATGCTCGGCCGACATGGCGGGTTGGGCGCTTGTGTCGTGGCGGGGATGGCCACACTTGTGCTGCTGACAACTTCCACCGCTGCTCATGACTACTACCTCGACGACCAGGACGATACTTCACGCCTCCTCGATGTAAGTAACTGGTAGACCAACAGTAGGGAAAGGGATGCGAGCTAAGGATAAAAAGGGGAAAAAAAATTTGAGAACGCTAAAATTCCTATCGCTCTTTCCACAGTGTCTTCTTACAGTTTCTGAAAAGTTAGTGATCTAACCTAGCCTAACCTAACTAAAATTACTTAATCTATCCTATGCCAACTCAACGTAACCTAATATAATTTAGCGTAACCTAACCTAGCCTTGTCAACCTGTTGTTAATTCTAATTTTACCCTTTACATGTAACTTTAGTAGTTACAGATACTTGTAGAAAACTTGGATAAAACGGATCGCAAGACTTGTCTTCGTTACAGTGGACATTCGAAGATAAAAATCCTCGTTCTGGATAAGACAAAAGGGAAACTGTCCAGCCTTCAACTCAAAGCTTACTGCCTCTGAACAACCCAGGAAATGACTTCACCAATCACATCATGAATCATCAAGACTTCAAATTAACCTTCACGTTAGTACTGGAGGCAGTTAATGCCAGTTGAAAAGTGTGGACGAGTTGCATGCAACTTGGTTCTTCTTAAACCATCTTGTAGATATTTACAGACGATTGCACTCTTCACAAATCATCTTGTGGGGTGAATACCTGGTTATATCTCTTTGGGAGTCGGACACGAAAAGGAAGATGGCACCAGAATGAGTGGCCTTCAAAGGCGAGTGCTCCCTAGTCAAAGACCCACAGGGAAGTTCACCTGAGGATGCAGGTCCACTCCACTAAATCGGTAATTTGAGATTGTCATAACAATGGCAGTCATGAACAATTAGACACACGTACAAAACACCTGGAGTATCTTTTCGGTATTGTATATTATTATTGTAGCGATACTAGCAGTTATCTCTACCAACTCTTCGTTTAAATGTCGTTTTGTCGACAACAGTAAAGAAAAAGACATTTTGCAGAGCAAAATTTTATTAAGCCAAAGCCTAAACGCTATCCCATTAATAACAATTTTACAAATTGTCTTTCTTGTCTACCAACTCTGCATAGCACAGGCTATATGACCTTCTTTGTGGCAGAGGGCAGGTATAGGGAAAGTTCCCTAAAAGAAGATCTGAGTGGTAGCCAACACTAGAGACTAGTGTCACTATTGTCACACTTCACTGCAATAATTTCAAAACAAATGACATTGATATCATTTGTTACTACGTGGTTAATAACACGTCTTCTTAAAACATCGCTCTATAGCTGATCTTTTCAATGAAAAGACACATGAAACAGCGTAAGCCTTTACCAAATTTATCAAGTTATAATTTGATAAAGCTCCTCATGAGCGAAACAGTGTTATGATGATGGCTTATGTTTTATGTATTTTTGTCCACTTGCGAACTCATTCCTTCTTCCATTTAACTGGTCGTTTGTTGAACCTGTCCACTATGTGTCGCTAGTCATCGGATGAATCCAAGCTCTGTTGCACTAGACTCTAGTCAGGCGGAACTTCTGCCTCGGACCGAATAAGCAACAAATGTCTAAGAGAACACCTACAAGTTGTAGGAACCTGTGGATGTAACCTAGTGCCCACAGGCATGGGTGTATAAACGCAATGTCCAAGCGGCTAGCCCATTCTCTTAATAGCGGACAGTATTTTACTGTTGCTGAGACAATCATATGTGTGATTATCTGATGCAAGCTTATACTGGGACTACATGTAGCACATTAGACCTGTATTAAGCTTGATAAGCTCAAACCTGAGCGAAACGTTGTCTCAGTAAAGGTTAAATGTGTATGTTGTTTTCATACGAACAGGAATATTTTTTTTTCTACACCTTAGTATATACCTTCTCATCCAAGGATGGGAAGCATAGCTCCAGTTCCTTGGACCAAGTTTCTTTCACTTGTATAAGGAGCCGTTCCTTAAGTGACAGGATCAGTATCATTAAGATATTGGTGGGAAAGCTTCAGATCCGTATCGGTCATACGGTCAGGAATGACAGGTAATCAAGTTTACTTTAAGGAAAGGGAAGGTAATTCTAAATCCTTGCAACACAAGTCCTTTACCTGCATGGCACCTTTGTGAAGGAGGTAGGTACCTAGCTGTTAGGCGACAGTTGTGGGTGGCTTCCCGAGGGCGGGTAGTTAACATTAGATGAACTGAGGTAGGAATGATCTGTCAATACTGAGAAACTGTAACAAATAAGACACGTCTCACTGAACGGAGGAGTTCAACACATAGCAAGCCAGTCCTGAAATTAGCAAGCCATTTTTATACACTACCATGCTGGCCTAATAAGATTCATCCAACTAGTTATAATGTTGGCTTCCAATGGCTTTAAAATTTTAGATACAAAATGCATATTAATAACACAAATTATCATGAATTCATCAAATTCGCTTTCTAAATTTCATTTCAAGTTAAAAATTCAGCAAAATCTCAATATTCTGTGAGGGGCAATTAGATCACAGTAAACAGGTGATATCACAATATGCAGAACAACCACTTTGAAAAGAATAGTGAACTTCCAAGCGCATTCGTGATTTGTAATATTATCATGGAACGGTACAGTTCCTTGATAATGTCAGAAATCACGAAAGTACTTGGAAGTTCACTGTTCTTTTCACAGTGGTTGTTCTGCATTCTGTGAGGTGTTTACGATCGTGTCATTACGATTTCTCGAGTGAAATAAGAGACTTAAATGTCGTATGAAAAACTTCATAAACGGTAACGTTTTGTTTGGTTTACAAACATTTTCATGCCAATAGAGAAGTCTAGATATAAAGAGTTTAGGCACCAGAGAAAAATATTAGTGAAGTACTAATGACAGGTCTGTTATGTCATGTCTCTGGTCTCACAGTGAATTATACACTTTCACAAATGTCTAATTCATCAACATGTTGGTTCACTGAACCAATTATCTGCATAGTCTCACCATGCAGATAACTATAAATTACCTTTATTTTTGGGAACTGGTAGTCTCCAGGTTGAGCAACCTTGAGCGCATCACCTTAACAAACATCGTAAAAACAGAAAACATGACATAATTGACTATTCATGTGAGCTTCACTTACCTGCACTCTTCTCTGATAAATTAACTCTGCTTCATGTGTTCTCTGCCGGCTTGAAAAAAAAAACTTGTAAACGAAACAATAGGCTGTCATTTACACTGTCTTCCATATTGTGTTGGAGAGCCTTATTTGTTTCAACTTTTAACCTGTAAATTCAACGGTGTAAAGAAACAAAAGTGTTGGAGGAGAGGGTAGCGAGTTATTCTTCGGGAAACAAGAAAAGTATCTTGACACGGATCTTTAACAATAACCCGCAACCGGTTAAGCATACGCGTACATATATGTAGGTTAGGTAAGATTCGTCAGGAAACTCCCAGGACAAGTGTTTCCCTGCGCGGGTCTTGGTCATACGATGACCCGGCACTGCAGCTTTTGGTCATTGACCGGGTCCTTCCACTTGCTTAGCCATCTACCACTTTACAAATAAGGTTATAATTATGACCATAGTATAGTATATGGACATGTTATAATGTTCGTCAGGAAACAGGACAAAAGTATATACACATATCCACTACCCCAAGTAAATTAACGTTAAAAGCACTGCTCAGCAGGAAGGCAGCATCACCGGTGAGAATGAGTTTGAGCAGGCATTCTCCATTACAGCCTCCACAATCATGCTAAACCCATGAGACGAGCTGCAAGTGGATAAACACCCTCCCCTGCAAATCCGTGCTAATAATAATATCGTTTGTTTTCAAACCGCGCATCAGATCGTAAGTTTGTGGACGATCGATGTTGCTACAGAATCACTCGGCCCATTTGTACAACGATGTCTGATCCTTCTAGGTTCATGTAAGGGGTAAGGTCACGCTAAGTTATATTAAATTAGCTTAGTTTATACTGCGTAAAGTTTTTTAAAGCTATTTAACCTACAATTCCGTTTTTTTTTTTTACCGCACATGAACAGAAGTGTAAATAATTACACACATTGTGGGCTTATTATCTCGTGATAACAGCACAGTAAACACATACAATGTCGTGCACTAATCTGGTGGAAATGCAACGCTTGTTGTGTAAGAGGAGTAGATGTGACGGAAGTGGGTGTCACCTCAGACTCCCGAGGCAGCTGAATCAACACCATTCCACGCCACTGAGACACAAGTGTCAACAGGAGTCATCATTTAGAACGCCTCTGTTTTATAATTATTATTATTATTTTAATGATAAGCACTAAACCCGTGTGGATAATTCTGCGCTGCAGGGTAAGGAGACACACTCACTTGGAGGTAGAAGAATGGAGGGCTAGTATAAGCAAGCAAGAATTATAGTAGCTGTAATAGATTACTTTCTCTTAAAAATAAAGTATACAAAACTCTGCGTTAAAGGTGGCACTGTATCAAGATCATTTATAGTGACTGAAACATCACATCTAAATGATGTGGAAAGTGAAGTTTGAGTAATATGTGATAGATGTGACTAAATTCGTGTTTATTTTTTACTGTATGTACGAACTGACAATCCTCACTTGAGTAATAGTGAAAGTATGGTTTCCCAGGAACCATACTATATTACTGATGGTATACAATGCCCATAAGCTGATGAATAAGACACAGGTTCAATACTTGCGTGTCTTTTATTGTCGAGCGCTGTTCCTGCATAGCAGACTTCTTAAATAGATTACAGGCGAATATACTTCTGCTGTCTCTAATTTTATATTCGCCTGCTTTCGACTGAAAAAGCTGCTATACAAGCGAAACGTTTTATTCATGCACATAATTGTAGTTGCATACAAAACTGTTGATTACTGACTCCAATAAACGACTTCGCCAGCGATTCAGAGGTGCTGTGACGGTACTGGAAAAAGTCCGGAAATAGTAATCCCTCGTGAAATTTAAAAAGTCTTCAACCGATGAATTAGCCGAGGAGTAAGCTGGTCCATTGTCCAGAACTTCGGGTTATCCAGGACCCAGCAAAAGATGAGCTCGTTGTGTTAGCTGAACATGCGTTATATTCATCTTTGAATATATCGCAACACGACAGGATGTGGGGAGTTAGTGTTGGATCGTTTGTAACTCACTTCGAGAGTCCGAAAGAAGCAACGATTGATGCAGAGAAAGGGGCATAAACTGCTGTGAACATACCGGGTGTCTCCAGAAAATATCACTTATACGCCCTCTGCATCTAGAGTTTTAGAACTACAGATCTACACTACACCAGTAATTGGACGTAAGTAACAGGAGACATTCACGTAAGTCTTACAATGATGAGAAGCTATGTAAGATATTCCAACATGAAACGGCAGACCTCCTAAGAAAAGATTAAGAAATACACAGAGAAAAGAAGAGGGTTTAAGTAATCTTAGTTTAGTGGTTGAATACTCGGCTCAACTCCTAAACCCTGGCTTTCAGTCTGGGTAGGACGAGACGTATAGACAGGGTAAGTCTCATAACACCTGCTTCCTGTGTTAACTTACCTTGGAATCACGAATCTGAACGTTATCTGACCACGTTGAATAATATAATCAAACCGAACGATCGAAATGATATTCGGGTATAATGGAATGTTCAGAAACTAACGAACTAACGAGCTACGAGGCTCAGTAGTACAACAGAGGACCTGTTACCTGCCAGGACCACAGCTCGAATCCCAATCCATTCTTCTATTATTCATTGATAATCATTTATTACGACTTATCTTGAGTATATATATATATATATATATAATATATATATTATATATATATATATATATAATATATATATTATAATATATATATTATATATATATATATATATAAAATATATATATATATATGCAATAAGATCACAGTAAACAGGTGATTTCGGAATATGCAAAACAACCACTCTGAAAAAATAGAGAAATTCCAATTGCTTTCGTGACTACTCACATTATCAAGGAACTATGATAATCATAGTTCCTTGATAATGTGAGTAGTCACGAAAGCGCTTGGAATTTCTGTTTTTTCAGAGTGGTTGTTTTGCATATATATATATATATATATATATATATATATATATATATATATATATATATATATATAGAGAGAGAGAGAGAGAGAGAGAGAGAGAGAGAGAGAGAGCAATGAAATCACGAAACAAGTGATTTTGAATCATTTACCAAACTGCGGCAGGCCAGGGCTCGACAGCACAACGTACATGTCACCTTACCACTGAGCCAGCGATCCTATAAAATCACTTGTTTCGTGATTTCATTGCTATATAGACTGCTTGTTGAGGCGGGTATTTAAACAGGAGGAGGCTGAAATTAATCCTTGAGATACCACTGCCACGAGTGTCCTCTGATCACGAGAAAAACATCTAGCTCTGCTGGATACGTGATCTTTGTAGGATCGCTGGATCAGTGGTAAGGTGACATGTACGTTGTGTTGTCTCTTGAGGCGGGACAATGTGTCGTGGAATCAAGCCCTGGCCTGCCGCAGTTTGGTAAATGATATATATATAATATATATATATATATATATATTATATATATATATATATATATATATATAATATATATATATATATATATATATATATATATATGAAAGCTTATGTTCATTACTTAGTCTTAATGAGTCCGAGTCATCAAGACTGAGGTATACTGGTTTCCAGAGTGTATGACTGATTACCTCATCTTCGAATAAAGATATCCAGGTGTTGCACATGTGTCTAAGTCCTCAGATTAACATGTATTTAGAAAATGTATTAAATGTTTAACCACTTTGCATATTAAAAACATCACTGACAGCTTGTTCCTTTCATTCCAGGTGCTACAATACTACGACACAGAACCCAACTATGTATATGACTACGGCAAGCACAATACCTACGGCTTCGGCTTGGGCAAGCGGGCACCGAGCTATGGATTTGGCTTGGGCAAGCGTGATGGCATGTACTCCTATGGCCTCGGAGACAGACCGGATATATACTCCTTCGGGCTAGGAAAGAGAGCGGATATGTACTCCTTCGGACTAGGAAAGAAAGCAGACCAATACTCCTTCGGGCTGGGAAAGAAATCGGGAAATTACAACTTTGGTCTTGGCAAGAGAAGCGTCGCCAATGTTTTCTCAGTCCCAGAGGACTCGAAGTCGGAGGACGAGGCACCAACGGCTAGGACGAAGAGAGAAGCTAGCGCTGCTGAAGACAGCCAGGAAGACAAAAGGTCCAAACTTTACGACTTCGGTGTAGGGAAAGAAGATCCCGAAGAGGACAAACGAAACCGCCAATACTCTTTCGGTCTCGGCAAGAGAGAACACAATGACGATGAAAAGAGATCCCGTCAGTACTCCTTTGGCCTTGGGAAACGTGAACCTGATATGGACCTGGACAAAAGGCCTAGGAACTATGCCTTTGGACTTGGAAAACGTGATCCTGACTTAGATCTGGACAAAAGACCCAGGAACTATGCTTTTGGCCTTGGGAAACGTGAACCTGATATGGACCTCTACAAAAGACCTAGGAACTATGCCTTTGGCCTTGGAAAACGCACCTCCGACGAGGAAGAAGACGATGATGATGAGCAATATTATCCATACGGGCTCAGAAAGAGACCCAGAATTTACAGCTTCGGTCTTGGCAAACGCAGCCTTGGGGTCGCGGACGATTACGACGAACTTAACGACGAGGAGGAGGATGAAGAACTAGGGGACTTTGAACAGTATGGTGAGGACCTCAAGAGGACTGCTTCTTACGGATTTGGTCTGGGCAAGAGAGGCAACGTGCTCAGTAATGGATTCGGCAGAAGGTCGTACGACTTTGGCCTTGGAAAGAGAGCTGCAGGACAATATGCTTTTGGCCTAGGCAAAAAAGCTAACCCATATTCCTTCGGTCTAGGAAAGAGGGCCGGGCCTTATGCCTTTGGCCTTGGGAAAAGAGGTGGACCTTATGCTTTTGGTCTGGGAAAGAGGGCTGGGCCTTATGCCTTTGGCCTTGGGAAGAGAAGTGGACCTTATGCATTTGGCTTGGGAAAGAGAGCTGGTCCTTACGCCTTTGGTCTAGGTAAAAAAGTTGACCCATACGCCTTCGGTCTTGGTAAGCGATCTGGTCAGTATGCATTTGGGTTGGGTAAGAAGTCTGGACAATACTCCTTTGGTCTTGGCAAGCGGTCTGGTCCATACTCCTTTGATCTTGGCAAGAATGTCGACTACGACTCTTCAGATGCATACACCCTTGGGAGGCGCTCGGGGACTTACTCCTTCGGCCTTGGCAAGAGGGCTGGTCCTTACAACTTTGGCCTTGGGAAACGTGAAGCCAGTGACGATGCTCACCAAGAGGAAAATCGTGAACCTGTAGCGGAACAAGCGTCATCCTAGGTCCCTCTCCAGGGTGTTCTACGCTTCTTAGACAATAAAATTATTCCCATCTTAACTCCCTGATGAGACCGAATTCTAAAACATGTCTTTGGGCAAGAAATCCTACCTATATATACCTATATACCTCCTGGTGTTACCTGGCTAACTAGGCTGTGTTATGCAAGCGGCTAAGCTATACACAGTTTAGTCATTGTCTAGAGATATTTTGTTCTCAGCAAGATGTTCTGTCCCTTTAAATATATGGCTGGATTTAGGTTAAATAAATGTGTCAGTTGACTAAATGGCGGTAAGACTCTCAACTTGCTTTTGAATTCGGTCTTGCATTCCCACCCTCTAAGGTAAATAATAAACACATAGACTCTAGCTTCATTTCTCTTATTTCCTACATCTTGCAAAATTGAGATAAAACGTTTAGGTCAGCTATCGCCAGTACAATCCCGAACATTAACACCACGGAGTGTTGCCTACATTTTATAGGGAGATGTGTGGTTTAACTTATAAACTTTGTAGTCAATATATAATATACTATTAAACGTGTGGCAGTGCAGGGGATGATGGACAAGACAACTATTATAAAGTCATTGCGACTCCTTTCTTGGCTAGGAGAATAATGTGACTTACTAATACCTCAGTGGCTATGATCTCATTAAGGCTAGGCTATATTTATATACATAGATTTAAATATATATTTTATTTTTCATTAGTATTAGGTTTAAGATAAATGATGCTAAAGATATTATTATAACTATTTTAATTACACAAATAAATAAATCATTATATTTCTCCTATCTATAATTTCAGTCATGCTTTGGTCTATGCGTTAATGCTGGTGGTCGTAATATTGGAAGCTACACATATCTCACTACAAGATTCAGGGCACATGTATTCACAGACTTCAATTGACGTAATATTTATAGATATTTTCTTAAATGCCTTTCAGATTAAGAGTCACATTAACTAGGAGTCAAATAACGGTTTAAAGAAAGGATTACTGACGAGGCTGTCGTATTTCTGTTAATGACCATGAACTTAAGCATAATGAAACTGATCAGTCATCTTGAGATCACTGAAGACTGATCTCGAAACTGATATTTTCTTCGGTGTGCATTTAATGGATACATTTACATAATAAGGAGTGCAGGTGTTTCCAAGGCTCAGGTTGTCAACAAGACTGCAACCTAGCAAGTAAGGCAGTCTGTATAATCTCACACAGAACGATTTAAAGTTTCAGCTTCTACCTATTATAACTTGTCCAAATCCCATATAAGACATTTTTAAATTTTGGTACCGGAGTGCTTCCGAGAAGATATACAATTAAAAAAAAAAAAGCTTTGAATAGCAGGGTCACACTATATCTGTATTTGAAGTGTGCACGACTGAGTCCGTTCCTTGTGTGGCTCAAGTCATCCCATTGCTGTGAGGCTGAACATGTAGTATTATGCTCTGTAACTATCGAATGTATATCAAAATAAGATTTTGAAGCTATTTATTTTCTATATTTTTCCTCTGTTTTATAATATATGTTTGATTAAAGAGTTGATTATCATTACCCAGTCGTGAATTGACCTTCACTCAAAAATACTTCCCAGTACATTTTTCTCATGTAGCAGTAAGATAACTGCTGAGTTACCCTATGTGAGGATACACCGCCTTCCCACCTCTCCTCTTTTCTATATTGTGCGGTGTCAGATATTTACCATGATGGCCCACAGCTGGAGCTTTTGGTCATCTGACCGAGGCCTTCCTCTGGCTTACCAGTCCACTCCTTCAAAAAATTATGGTTACAATTATTATATGTGAACAGGAGAATAGGTAAAAAGATATATCCTTGGCAATAAAGACCCCGTCTTGATGGCTGATCAAGATCACACTGACTGAAATGCATTCTTTTGAGCTTTACGTTCTTATCTCTATCAGACCAACGAGGTTCCTTGATACCGATAAGATGCTCTTAATGCAAGGAACTGGACCTACCCTCTCCTTACCTAACGAATTTTATTGCCTCCCATTCCCCCATGCGCTGTATAACTCCTATGGGTTTAGCGCTTCCCTAATTAAAATAATAATATAGTCTACCATCTCAAAAAACAAGAATGTTAATCATTTACGTTTACAATTTAAACATTAAGAGTTTATTTCTTTACATAGACTACATTTTACATTAAATATCACAGATATGAGCCAGCTATAACAAAGAATATACAATGAAAGTTATAATTATCAGTGTACATTCTCAAAAGCGTACGTAACATTTCGACATATCTACAAAAAAAAAGGCGTACATCTCGATGTACATATACCGAGAGACGTAAGCTAATATATAAATGTGTGTGTGTGCTGAGTACTCTTTAATCTTTAATTAAGTGTTAGGGATTCAAGTATATTTGTATTAAACACGAGAATTTGCAACAATAATAATCCCTAGCAATAAACAAGCCTAAAAGGATAATATTAATTTTAATATTTAAACTTGTACGAAAATCCTCATAACATGGAAAAACTGTGTAGGCTCTCCATGCTCATTAAGTAAATATTTAATTTAAAATACACGATAATAGTGTTTTTTCATCAAAAAATATTGTGCCACGGGGAAATTTCCTTTCCAAGTGTAAAGCAGCGGATGAATTACCTGCTATCTTCTGCTGAATGAAAACATTTATGAACGTAGAGAGACTCCCTTGATTAATTGCTGGCAAAAAATGGGTGAAAATGTGAGATTAAGAATTGGCAAACATGTCCAGGGAGACATGACGTAAAGTTGAATCTACATTGGAGCCTAGGCTGGAAATGTGAGGTTTCAAGACATATCACTGGAAGAGAGGAACACGAATGTAAGGACTTCACTAAGCATCACTGAGGAGGGAAGAACACAAATATAAGCTCTTCCCTACACATCACTGAGGAGGGAGGAACACAAATGTAAGGCCTTCACTACACAACCTTTGCCGAGGAGATCATAGATTTTATAAGCTGAGAGTTTTCATTAATTATTTAACACCTATTTTGGGGACTAAATAATTTTTGTCTGGTGATGAACAGGGGACATGTCATCTTAATGACCATTCGAGTAGATAATAGTGTGAGAAATTACGTGGATGAATTTTTAAAAGTACAATCCTGAATTAACCTTTCACTCATACAACCTGGGAGAACTCTGGTACATTATTGATATTGATGTACCTCGGAGACAAGTGGGACTTTGGGAACAACAGGTCATTAATATTGTCCCTCCTTCAGTGCCCACCGTTTCAGCTCCCTAACTCACACTTAGGGACCTTAAATTAGGAACATATGGTTCTTGGAAATTTACTAAAAAATTTAAGCCAGTAACACTGGCAAATTAGGTTGTGGACTGTATGATTAAAGAAGTTATTTGGGTCTGACAAATTGAAATAATTTGTTTATCTTATTTACAAATTATTAGACAAATCAATACAATAATATTAAATATAATTGCATTTACCAATTTATTCAATCCGTGGTAAATCCTAACGCCTCCCTACATGAAGGCAATTAACATTGGTCTATAACTAACTACCTTACCTGCTGTATAGAGTTCAATATACATTTTGAGGTGTACATTAAACTGGATGATATATGTGGCAGGCAAATATGGCGTCACATTCAGCAACCGCTGACAGTTGTATTAAATAACTGGACACTTACAGATGCACTGTCTCTTCGTATATCCTGACGTTATAAACTTCTACCAATAATATTTCTATTGCCTCCGATTACACTGGTTCAAATTCTGCCAAACACCTCAGTTAATGTTTACGTTCCGCCATTTTTGTATGCGTCCCCAAACGATTATTTTATACATATATATATAATTATATTCATTGACATTTCCTGGTGTGTGGTACATTTTCTTATCAGAATATTAGTTTTTTTCAACATAACAATTACGTTTTAATTAACTGATTACCACAAATAAGTAAATTATAGAGGATGTTGGTTCCCTTGGGGCTTATCATCTTTTAAATGTCACATCAACACTTTACACTTATATTGCGTTATATAAACACTTACATCCTTTAATTATTACACAGATTACAGGAAAAATATCACAATTTTCCACAGATAGGCTTTAAACCCAATTAACCAGCCATCCTTAGAAAGGGCGGACCTCACATGTAAGGGCAGAACTAGTACAAGGCTCCTCGTCACAGTTGCAACCTTTTCATGGTCAGATAAGTAAAGGTCATAATTCTTCATGGTTAGATCAATAAAGATTATACTTCTTCATGGTCATATCAATAAAGGCCAGCAGGTCATACTTCCTCATCGCCAATCAACAGAAGCCAGCTTATGCTTCTTAATGGTCAGACCAATGAAGACCATAACGGTCATAGTTCTTCATGGTCAGTAAAGGCAGGTCATACTTCTGCATGGTGAGGTCAGTAAAGGCAGGTTATACTTCTGCATGGTGAGGTCAGTAAAGGCAGGTCATACTTCTGCATGGGTAGGTCAACAGATGTCACCTCATACTTCTTCATGATCAAATCAATTAAACTCAAAGCATACTTCATCCAAATTTCTTCACTGAAATTGGTAAATTAGGACATTCATAGACAAAATCTAATTAAAATCTTTCAGATGGACCAAAGAGACCAATATCCTAAAATACACAAACACATTAATCTTTAAACCACTCAGATGTGGCGCTGTCAAGTAATCAGCAATCGACGGTCTTCAAGGTGATCAGACCAGACACTCAAATTCTATCATGAAAAGCGTTATTATTATTATGGGGAGCACTAAACCCGAAGGGATTATACAGCTCCTGTAAGAGGGTGGAGAATGGAACGCATTCAGGCCCAATTCAAGAATTGGAGCACAGATCCAATTCCCTTGATCAAGAGCCTCTCACCAGTTGTTAAAAAAAAGCAAACTGGAACCTACACATGTAATATCAGTCCAAGCTTTTTTTCAAAGTAATATTAACCACAACAACTACTGGGAAATAAAACATTTGCCTCTTCCTAGAGGCAAATATCTTAGAGATTATTATTAATACATTTGTGGGGAAGCGCTAAACCCATACGGGTGATACAACGCCTGGGGGATGATAAAGCAGCTCCATTTCCATGAATCAAGAGACCTTCACCGGCAGAATTACTTGGAAGGAACAACAGATTCATCACATATAAAAACGACCTCGTACCACAGCCTAGTGTACACTGCGTCTCTTCTGCGTGTTGTCTGGATATCTCTTTGTTTCGTATATGTTTAATATCTTATTGTCACTAGGAGGAGATATACCTCTCGTAACTCACTAAGTGGTTATAACTATGACCATAATTTTTAAAGGGGTGGACCGGTAAGCCAGTGGAAGGCCTCGGTCAGATGTCTAAAAGTTCCAGCTGTGGGTCATTATATGACTAAAACTCGCTTCAGAAAACACTTGTCCTGTTTCCTGATAAACCTTAACCTAATTTAAGATATTCCTCAAGTACTTCTTGAAATGCTTAAGGAATTTCTTTAAATAAAGTAACTTTAAAACGGACATAGGAACAAGAATCATTTAGCCACAATGGAGTTAAAACTGTACGAGTAACTATTTGAGTAAGGAAGGACAAATGACTATTGACTGCAGCTTGGGATATTGACAGGCTGAAGTTATTGTAATAACTGAAACTTGGTTCACTCTGAAAAAAATAGGGACATGTCTGCTGGACATGTCTACAAGGGTATAAAATATTCCACACTGACAGAGTCAACATGAAAGGAGGCGCAGCTACTATGTTAGGGAAAATTTAAACTGTTGCATCATAAACGATATGAAGATGAAAGGGATAGACACGGAATCTGTTTGGATGCAGTTTCTCGAAAAACATGAAAAGCTAACCACAGATGTGGTATACAAACCCCCGAACCTAGAATGTACCATGGTAAACTTCTTTGGGATGAAATTACTCCGGTATCTAGAAATACAAATGTAAGTTTTATTGGGAGATTTTAACTTTAGCCAGATCGATTGGAGCAATTGTACGGGTAATTTAGAGTCTAACGACTTTCTTGAAATGGTCCAAGGCTGTCCAAGACAGTCTGTCAGATCCAACTAGGGTTAATAACCTGCTGGTCTTGGTTGTGGCGAACAAGGATTCTCCGATAGGTGATCTTGAGGTTAATGAAGAGTTTGGAGAAAGTGATCATAAACCAATTAGTTATAATGTATTGTGGAATTACCTTAATAACGATAGCAAAGTTCAGGTCCCCAATTTTCGCGTTGCATATTATATGTAGCTAAGGGGTTACTTAAGGGGTGTACGCAGGGGTAACCTGACTAGGGACTATAATAAAGAGGATCGGATAGGAGGTGGTAATGGTCGCCAGTAAGGTTATTCCCAACAGAGAATTTAGATCAAACATGAATGATCATGAAAGGATAAACGATGGATGAAGAGACATTATTTATAAGCGAATCAAAAGAGGTGAAGGTCACTTTATTGACCATTATATTCAATTTAAGAGAGAAGTCA